CGTATGTCGGCGCCGTGTTTAACGGAGTCACCATCTTGATTCTGGGTAAGTTTCTCACTCAGACGACGTTGAGTCCTGCAGACTGCTGACTGAATGTGACTCTGTGTGTGTGTCCAGCTGACGTCATCTTCTTCACCACTCCACTGATCTACCAGAAGAAGAAGGTCAGTGTTCATGAACATCAGTGTTTGATTGTGAACTTCTAACCTGCAGTGTCCCGACCTGAGTGTGTGTCTGTGTGTGTTTAGGCTCAGATTGATCGGCACGTGGAGTTGGTTCGATCCAGGCTGGAGGAAACTCTTCAGAAGTGAGTTGACATGAAGGTGTTCCAGCGTTGGTCTAACCCTGGTCCACCTCCGTCCCTGTGCAGCTGCTCTGCTGCCTGAGCTCCAGCAACACTTTGACTCAGCTCCATTTGTGATGAATCTGCCGAGCTGAGTCCAAACACAGACTTTTGACTGGAATTGGTCTGGTTCTGTTGCTGGGCAGAGCTTGTAAACATCCTCTTCTTATTACCTGGATACACCTGTCCATGTCTGCAGGTTATTTGAAGCCTGTTGGAGGCCCCTTCTCCTGCTCCAGCCACCACAAACTGGTTCCTGCTACAACCCACCTGATCTCTATGAAGCATGTCAGCAGGTGTTTCTCTAGCAGCCCACTGGTGCATCCAGGTGTGTCCAGGTAATAAGACGACGACCAGCTTCGCCCAGCAACAGACCTGCAACCTCCTCCAGGTGTCTCCAGGTGTGTCCTCTGCACTGTGACAAAAACGATGCGACACACAGCAGAAGTTCTGAAGCCATGTTGGCAGCAGGATGACGTTTGTGGAGCTCAGAACTGTTCTGGGCCTCAAATGTTTTCAGTGTTCAGGAGGAAACCAGAAGTTTCATCAGAACCTGCAGCTGTGACGTCACGTTGACCCGAAGATGTTTCACTGACCAGCTGTGGTGCAAGAAGTCAGACGGCAGGAGAGGATGTCCGATCAGTTATCGATGACTGATTATTGATTATTGACACGTTGTGGTTCAGTCACAGCAGCTCCAACGCTGGATCCGGTGTCTTTAATCATTATTGATCACTTTTTTATTCATACTGATCAGATTTTATGTCATTGTTAATTAGTTATTGATCAGTTTTTAATCATATTTATTAATCAGTTGATTAGTAATTGATCCTTTTTGATCAGTCATAGATCGATCATCGGTTTTTAATCAGTATTGATTAATTATTGCTCATTTTGATCAGTTTTGATGAGCATTGATCAGCTATTTATCATTATTGATCCGTTTTTAATCAGTATTGATACGTTTTTGATCATTATTGATTAGTTGTTTATCTGATACATTTTGGATCAGCACTGATCAGTTTTTCACAATTATTGATCAGTTCAGGGGCTGCAGGTGGATCAGTGGTTAGCA